TTTATCTCGTCAAATGCTTGATTTGATTATAACTACAACATATTTTAAGATAATTTGAATTAATGTCTCAAAGTGTCTAAGAAGTGCTTAATATGGGCTCATTTGGACTTGAATTGAATCTCTTTTGATGTCATTGGGTTTATCTCATCTTGACGTTCAAGTTGATTCTAAATTTGTTGAAATCAAACTTTGGATGATCCTGAATTTGATTTTAAAAATTTCAAATTCAAATATGAATCGAGATTTGTGCTTCTTAAGTTGATTTTTGATGACCTACAAAATATTAAAATGATAAGCTCTCTTTCTATCCTCATAAATATCTTGCGCACAACAATCATATCCATTTGATTTGCACTTCATAATTGATATATCATCAAAAAATTATCTTGATCGGGCACGAATCTTGAAGCAAATTTAAGTTGGAAACTTCAAAAACTAAATCGGAAGCCATCTGAACTCCGATTTTAGTAAACTTACAGTCGAACCGAACATCTCAAAAATACAAACCCAACGACACCAAATTCGACTTAATTCAAGCCCAAATGGGCCCAAATCAAAGACCCGTAGCGCATTTGGAAGGTTCAAACCATAATTTGGATTATTAAATGGTTTCCAAACGTGGCATGTTTATAGTCGAATCGAGCGGCTCGACGAGATAAATCCAACAAGGCCAAGATCGTTGAATTCAGATATCATTAAGACATTTAAATGCCCAATAAATGATCCTTAATCAAGGGATTCTATATCGTTCATTCAAACCAGTCTGAATTTATCCATGATCTTCCTCCTATTTACTGGTCATGCCACTCTAAAAAAATTATAAATAAACCTCGCATTTCTCATAGAGGGGAAGAAAGGAGGAGGCCCAAGCAAGAAGAGAAAGAAGAAGAAAAAAAAAAGAGAGCTCTTTTATCACTAGACTCTTCCTCGACTTCCGCCGAACTTCCACCCGGCAGGCTACTGATGCGGGAGTCCTGCCTAAATGTCGAATGACGGCAGAGTTCTGCTCGACAGCAGACCGATGTCGGAGTTCTATCAGACCTCCAATGGACGTTGGAGTTCTACCCGGCCGCCGACTTTCGTCTGACTTCTATCTTATGCTGAAGTTCTGCTTGTCGCCAGACTTCTTCCTTACCGGACTTTCAATGGACTTCTACCTCACTTCGCACTTCCGCCCGTCACCAAATTTCTATCCGTCGTCACATTTCCACCCATCGTCGGACTTCTGCTTGTTATCGGACTTTCGTTATACTTCTACACAACGCCAAACTTCCACCAATCGCCAGATTTCTACTCGACGTCGGACTTTCTCCTATCGCATGATTTCTACCCGTTGCTGGACTTCCGTCCATCACCGGATTTCTGCCCGGCCACCAATTAACTCCAGACTTTTGCATGGCCACCAATTGATGTCGGACTTTCATTGTCTTTCTATTATGGTCCTTCTAACCTCTGTCCTTCTAACCTTTGTCGCCTAGCGACTACGATCCTTCTGACCTCTATCGCTAGACAACGATCCTTCATACCTCTTTCGCCCAATGACTACGGTCTTTAAGACCACCATTGCCAGACAACGATCTTTATGACATCTGTTGTCCGCTGACTACGATCCTTTTGACCTCTGTTGGCAGACAACGATCCTTCCGACCTCCGTTATCCATCAACTACGGTCCTTCCAATCTTTATCGCAAGACAACGGTCTTTTATGACCTATGTTGCTCGCTAAATATGATCATTCTGACCTTTGTAGCCAGATAACTATCCTTCTGGTCTCTGTCGCTAGACAACAATCTTTATGACCTTTGTCGCACACCGACTATGGTCCTTCCAACCAAAAGAACACGTCAATAGTGACTCTTCCTTTTTCCACCCAAGGAAGGGCCTCATTTGTAATCGACTGTAAATAATAATGGATTCAGTCAAATTGGGCTAGGCCCCGTGATTTTCCCCTTTTCAGGGTTTTCTACGTAAAAATTTTGGTGTCTTTTATTAATACTACACTCACTCTTTTATCTGTATGCGTGCTGGATGTTCGTGCAGAGCTATGACATTAAATTTTATATTTCTCTACCGCTGTGAATATTCCATGACACAACAATAATAATGAAATTTTATATCATGGAAGCATATTATTCAATAAGAAGTTGTTATTTTTTCTACATTAACTCCATTCTTTTGTACATTAAACTTTGAAAACAAAGTTCTAGTAAAAAATAGAAATATATGTTAGTTCTAAATGAGACAACGAAATAAATAATCAATTAGGATTGAATTGTTAATTATTTCAAATTTGACTATATATCTACAAAGATTTGGTTCAATATTAGCTTATGGATCTAACGTACATAGCTGACGATATCAAATCGTCGATTCTCCTACCATGCATCATGATTAGGTCCTTCGACCGGACATAGAGGAACATCCGGTCGGCACTAAAATCCCACCAAAAAACTCGGTATTTGCTCAGCATTGCTAGGTATTATTTGGTAATAACGAGGAATACCGCTCTGTGAAGACCAATACCGAGTTATACCGAGCTATACCGAGCAATACCAAGTTATATAAAAAAATACATAGTTTTTTCTAGGAAAAACTCAGTATTGCTCAGTATAGCTCGATATAACTTGGTATTGGGTCTTCACATGATGATATTCCTCGTCATTATTTGGTATTGCTCGGTATTTGCTCGGTATTTCTCGTTTTTTGGCACGATTTTAGCTCCAACCGGACGTAGCTCCGGTCGGAGGACCTAATAATTGTTCATGCATCATAACTCATGATAATATCATAATTTATTCTAAGATCAAAAGATACATTTAGGCTTTGTTTTTATTGCTCGTTAAAATAGAGTTTAAGTACAAAAATTATAAATTTTATATTAAAATTATGTTTTAAGAAGCAATAAAAAAGTTGTTCAAAATAAAAACTTAATTTAAAAAAAAAAATCAAATAAGCAAATTGCCACCCACTCAACACATTTTTTTAATAAGGATGATGTCAAAGTTATAAATTTAATATTGACTTCATTTGGGATAACTTTTTTACTACTTTGTAAAGCTTATGTTAGAGCTATCAATATTGGACTTGACCCGAAAACCCGACCCAAAAATTTCGGGTTTGGGTTGACCCGAACCAGAAGGGGGTTGGGTTTGGGTCTGGAAACTCAACACATTTTTTTAATAAGGATGATGTCAAAGTTATAAATTTAATATTGACTTCATTTGGGATAACTTTTTTACTACTTTGTAAAGCTTATGTTAGAGCTATCAATATTGGACTTGACCCGAAAACCCGACCCAAAAATTTCGGGTTTGGGTTGACCCGAACCAGAAGGGGGTTGGGTTTGGGTCTGGAAAACTGACCTATTTGCAAAATCGGGTCGGGTTCAGGTTGACCCGAAAACCCGGGAATGCCCAAGAATGACCCGGAAAACCCATCTGCCCTGGCTGCCCCGCGATGCCTGCCCTGGCTTCCCCAGCTGCCCACAAGGCCACGAGACCGCTTCAAATCTGACTCAAATCGCATTATCACATTGTGCCGAGCTTTGAGACATCGAGCAGCGCGACGCGCGTCTCCCGCTATCGTCCCCCGCTGGCAGCCGCTGTCGTCTCCCGCTGTCGTCCCCCGCTGTCGTCCCCCGCCGGCGGCCGCTGCCTGCACCATCGCGTGTGGTATTGCCTGCACACCTACACGCCTGCACCGAATTACCTGCCCCTTGCCACCGAATCACCTGCTCCTTGCCTGCACCAAAGCAGGTCGAGTCAGGTTGACCCGAACCCGAAGCGGGTCGGGTTCGGGTCCGGAAAATTGACCTTTTTGCAGAAACGGGTCGGGTTGACCCGT